CCAAAATTGAATTCGCGGATACCGTTTAGGTACTACTAGCAGGTTCTTGCTGAGCTCCCGTCTGAGGACAAGGCGGGAAAGACATGATGATGGTCACTTTCATTTTGGGGCCCCTGGCCCACAATGGAACCACGATTTGGGCAACCTACCAAATCACTTTAAAGAGTCGCTGCGGCTTGGCATGTGCTGCGGAATGCAAGCATCAGCATAGCCCTTGACTGTGGAGCAGCATCTCTCACCCCTGGCCTCTTTATGGAGCGGAATATGTTAGGTGGACCCCCCCCACCCTATCATAGGCGCTATAAGGGATAATAAGGATTATATTAGAGTCCTCTTATATTCCTATTATACCACTATTACAGAACGGGGGGTCCTCCTAAGGAATACCAATTTGATCCAAAACACCATATCTGCCAACATTGCACGCACGACTGATGCTCTAGACCTCGTTCCTATGGTGTTTTCCATGCTCGTTGCCAATTGATTCTCCATTCTTGAAGTAATACTCTGAAACCCTAAGCCCCAAACCCTAAATCCTTACAACCTAAGCCCCAAGTAATACAAGCATGTTCCATCTTCTTTTCCTATAATCATGAGCTCCCCTGCTACCCCCCTCTGTCCTGCCCCCCTAGGTTCCCCTTTAGTAACCTTACTTTCCTCTAAATAGCCTTAATTAAGGGGGGAACCCAGGGGGGGGGTAGCATTAGGGGGGGTACCCTAAACCCTAAACCCTAAACCCTGGGGTAGTAGGGGAACCCTGAAAGCTGCGCCGCGCCTCTTCTCCGCCTCATCAAAGAGCTCAGGTGGCTTCAGGCCTGAGTAGAGGCAAACCCTAAAGGTCCAGGGCTTAGGGTTTAGGGCCTTAAACCCGCAACCCTAAACCACTAACCCCTAAACCTCTAAACTCCAACACCTCAATCAGAAACCCTAAACCCTAAACCCTAAACTGTTCCAATTCTCCAGGCAAAATTCTCATCAACTCACTGGGCTAAGCACGGTGGCGGCGCTGCAAAAAACGATTCCAGCCCACCTCGCCTGTTCAGGCATCGTGCTTTGGGTTCAGGGTTTGACCCTAAACCTTAATCAATCCCTAAACCCTAAATCCTAAACCCTAATCCCTAACAAACCCTAAACCCAATCTTGGGGGGATCCACAACGCCTAAGCCCTAAGCCCCAAGCCCTAAACCGTAAACCCCAATACAGACCCCAATATACTACACTCCCCTAGACCCGAAACCCTAAACCCCAGCATACTAATGTAGACCTCTGATTAAGAAATCCCCTCCCCTTGATAGGGATCAGGGATCCTAATATTAAGGGCTTTAAAAGGCGGCGGTTTATTGATCACGCGTCTACATTAAACCCCCCTAGAACCCTAAAATCTAAACCCTAAACCCTGAATCCTAAACCCTATATAACCCTTATATTACCCCCCATAGTCTAGGCATTCCTTCCCTCTCCCTGTGGTTGGGGTGGACCCTCCCCTCACCCTGTGGGTGTGGTTGGGGGCGGCCTCCCCCTCTGTGTGTGTTTAGGGTTTAGGGTTTAGGATTTAGGGTTTTGGGTTTAGGGGACATGACTCAAGGTCTTCCTCTTTCTGCTGTGGGTGTGGGTGGGTGGGGGTCTCACAAACCGAGGAATTACGTAGGCCATTTGTAGGTTGGAATGGTATGGGCATGTGAGAAGATGTTTACATGAATAAGATAAGCTTATCTATAGATGTGTAGACGTAGAGATGGATTGTGATTCCAATGCAGCCTATGCAGTGTTTCCGAGGTTTTCAGAAGGTCTTAGAAGGACACATAAGCCTTGCATGGTGGAACACTAGACACGTTCAAATACATCAATCTACCAGAGCCCAAAGGATCTTGCCCCAAACTGGCCCATCCCTGTAACTGTCAGCATATCTGGAATCTTGTACACAGAGTCAGACTCCAAAAGAGACGACAGTCACGAAGATGGCGCCTTCCAGTCCCAATCTCTGTGACTGTTGGCAGTCTTGAAACTGCGAAGGGCTAAAAACGACAATCGAAGATTCCACGCGTTCATGACCATACCATGAAAAAAGGGGGCCAGGAACGCCAGACGCCTGACCATATATGCCCTTTAAAGGGACCCAAAAGACTTGGAGTCACGTGCTCCCCTGCTGCTCCCAACTAACCGGCCTGGCATTTTTTGATGGCTTAGCCACGAAGATCAAAGGTTTTGTAGGGAGAATTGGACCCGACCGCCTGTTGATGTTGCCGACCCCGTTTACTCCTGTCCGCTGCAGCGCGTCAGCACCCCCGCCACTTCCTCCAGGCGCTCCCTTTGCTAACGTGGGCCGGCAGCAAATGTGCCAGCCTAGATCAGACAACGCCCATTTGCACGCCTGCTACGGCTGACCCGTCTTCGCTTCCATGCCACCTGCCCAATGAAGTTAGGGTTTAGGCTTCAGGGGAATTTGCCGCCGCTTTGCATTCCCACACACGATTGAAGTAGTGCAAGACTCATACATTATGACACTTGTGACAGCAACCACCGCAACGAAGCGCCCCCATGAAGTCCCAGCCTTCATGTCAGCTTTCCTTTTTCCATTTGACTTTTCACTTTCTGTAATGACCCGACGACGTCAAACAACGACAACTACACTGACGACGCGTCAACGACGATGACGACAGGTATGATGACCCAAACTCAAAGTTCATGTCATTTGTCATTTGATGTTCCAATTGAACCTCCATTGCGTACCTTACCCCCTAACCTTAAACCTTCATTTCCAGCCCTAAACCCTGAACTCTAAACCCTAAACCCTAAACCTTAACCACGTCTTACTATGGCATCAGCGTTTACTGCTCTGGCTTTGCTAGACTTCGAGCTGGACTTTCGGGGTGTCGAAAAGTTGCGGAGTCGATGGAGGAATCTGAAAGGATATATGGGGACGTCTAGGGATTATAACCCTGAACCCTGCGAACCTCTACATGGCCCAGTGTCCATTTAATCTTCCATTTTCTGTTCCATCTGATTTTCGATTATTGGGGTAATATCCCCAAACATGCAGGGTTTGGGATTGCCTATGAACCACTCTGCCATTGCACATGCATCAGAACCAACATGCAACATGCAACCCTAAACCCAAACCCTAAACCCAGAGCCTAAACCCTAAACCGTAAACCCTAAACCCAAAACCCAAACCCTACACCCTAAAACCTTAACCCCAAGCCCTAGTGTTATGCGGCCTTGGTTTGGCCCATGGTATCCGGCCAGCTTCCTGCCCAGAAGCGCCACATAAAGCAGCTTGTGTTGCGCAAAGAAGAAAGGGTTCGGATTTGTTGGTTCAGGGCTTAAGGTTTCGGGTTCAGGGTTTAGGATTTAGGGTTAGGGCGGCAGCGAAGTAAGACTCTCATGTGAGCTAGAGTCCATATATCCCCACTAATGGAGAATCAAACGGCAAAGAAAATGGAAAATGAAATGGATACAAGTGCTTAGGGTTTACGGTTGAGGGATATTTCTTTCCTACAGAATTCAATGGACAAGGGCTCTTTATTCGGGACTATATAAGGGAGATTTTGAACTACCAGACAGACCCCTATATCCACTGTTAAGGGTCCCTTAACTAGTAAAGCGAATATTGACAGTAGCTCCCCATGTCAAGCAATCAACCCTTGACAGACCAAACTGACTGCCGGATAGTTGCAATAAACAACCACTTCTTTGGGACTCCCAATGACAAGCACCTCAGCATATAGGCCTCTAGTCATGGAACCTCCCATATCTACGCTGCCCTCTCCTGCTCTCCCCTAAAGCCTAAACCCTCAATCTCTCTCTCTCTCTCTCTGTGTCCCCGCACAGATACCTGCGAGAAGGGCTCGCCATGACTCCTGGATGGGATCTTATAGGGGATTTGATGTGAGTAGCGTTTTTTTGGTGGTGAAACCCAGTAATACGGGGGATAATGGAAAAGGAAATGGAAACTACTACAATAGGCTATTTGGGGGTTATATAGGGATGTGATCACATGTGAGTAGTGTTTCTTTGGTGGTTGAACCTAGTAAGGTAATATTCCCTATATAAAATATTGTACCCCAAGAGGAGGATATAATCTTACTCTATATTGGGTACCATAGTATCCCCAAATAAAATACTACTCATGTGTATGTGTATATATATATATCTATCTATCTATGCTCCAAGACTCTGATAGGTTGAGGAAATATATATATATATATGTATATGTATATATTTGTCTACAGGGTTTAGGGTTTGGGATTAAAATGAAGGGTCCCAATAAGAGATTTTGTGTGTGTTTGCGTGTATATATATATAGATATGTGAATCTATCTACAGGCGTTCGGTTTAAAATGAAGGGTTCCAATATGGACCCCAACCTACAAAACCCTACTACCATCCGCAATATAAGGAAAATGAAGGACCCCAGTCCTTCTAAAACCTCCCTTAAGCCCCCCCTTAAGGCCCCCTTAAGCCCCCCCTTAAGCCCCCCTCAAGCCCCCCCTCAAGCCCCCCGTTTGGCCTCCCTTGAACCCAGCTCAGATGGTCCTTCAAGCCATGACAGGCGAGCGCATCCAACGTCTCCAAGAACCCATCATACTTTAGGGTTTAGGGCTTGGGGCCACTACGGCTTCACATGTGAAAACCAACCTAAGCATTCGGACCTGCCACTGTTTAGGGTTGAGGGTTTAGGCTGTGCACCATGCGTTCCATGGAGCAAGAATGCTCTGGCCACTAGCTGCGGGTGGTGGAAAATTGACATCGCGCCTGTCTTTGTAGCCATCATGCTGATTTTGCGTTATCGCGCGTGTAACTAGCCAAGGCTTTATGGCAAACACGGCAAGGAACCAACCTCTGCTGACTCATCTGACTTCGACTAACCATCGAGCCGTGATGGCGCTCGACAAGAAGCTAGACGCATAGTAGCTCAAAACTGCAGGTCAACAGCCAGCCTGGGCAAGATCACATCTTTAGAGGCTTCCGTATTCTAACTGTCAACACGCTTTTTGCTTTCACTTCTCGGCAATAAGCGGATCTAGGATTGCCAGAGCTATGAGCAGCGCCTCCTCCGTTCCTCAGCTCCCAAATTGTCATCCACGTGGTGTAGGGTTTAGGGTGTTGGGCGTAGGGGTTCGAACATGTTGGTCTACAGAAGCCAAGCAACGTATTGTCCGAGACATTTGACGTGGGCATACATTCACCTGGGTTGCTGTTCAGAAGCTGAAATTAAGGTAACTGAAACCCCAAGCCCTGAACTTTACGTATCCATATCATGGTAACTTAACTGATGTTCCTTCACAACAACCCAGTCACGTATCGGCTGAAAAGAGACGCCGCGTCCGTGTCGGCCTCGTAGCCACTCTTTGCGTCAGCAAGGACCTTTCAACGAGGTTGTGTTGCAGAACTTAATGTAGGTAAGTTATCATAGATTGGGTATATAGTGTCTAAGGCGCAAGTTACCCTAATGTGGGTATATAATAAAGAAAAGGTTTCTGTAGTATTGCACCGTAATTCAAACTTCTTGACAGCAACCCAGTTCAAGGCCACTGGGGGAACAGTTCCAGGATTCGCTCATTCTGCGACCGACACACCACGCAGGTTAAAGGCCCAGGGGCTTTCAGCAAGCAGAGCACCCTAAACTGCTTCTTAACAGCAACCCAGTAAACCCTAAACCAGCTGGTTGCATGCCTCTTCAAATCCTCCGAGGCCGCCAAAGGCCAGCAGCAAATGCCTGTTCAGAGGGTTTCAGGCTTTAGGGTTTAAGGTCTAGGATCTAGGTTGGGTACTGCCCCCCCCCGTAACAATATAGCCCTTAATAGAACCCCAATATAGACTGTTACTGGGTGGGGGCAGTACCCAGGGGCTAGGGTCGCACTGACCTGAATTTGGGCAATCGCCCCAGCCCCAGCGACTCACCACGCTCAGAGGTGCCGATCGTGAGGTCGTAGCCACCCTCCCATGGGCATTCCTGCAGTCCAGCAAGCCCCATCAAGTCGAAACGCTCCTGCATGGAGCTATGATGGCCCCCCCCAGTATATGACCCATGGTAGTACTACTCGGTGGCTGTTAAGGAACTTATCGTATAAGTTACAAGAATAATTCCGTGTATATAGTAAATCATAGGGTTTCCTTATTATAGTACCAGCAACCCAGAATATGGCGGATGGAAGAATCTCGCACCACAAAGGATCCCGCAATACTGCAATTATTGGGGGGTATGCGGCAAGAGCTCCCTAAACCCCAAACCCTAACCCCAAAATCCTAAACCCTAAGCCTTAACCCTAAATACCCTAAACCCTAAATCCTAACCCCTAAACCTAAACCCTAAAGATGAGGCAAGAGTTCCTCCATCCACAGCATGACTCCTTCGGTATGAACACTTAGTGCCGGACATCGAAAACAGCCTTTAAGCTGCCGGCCAACCTGGTTTAGGGTCTTAGGGGTTTGAGGTTTTAGGGTTTAGGATATTGGGTTTAGGGTTAGGGTTTTAAGGGTTTAGGGTTTTAGGGTTAAGGATTTTGGGTTTAGGATTTCTAATGGTTTCTGAAAATATTTCTAATATGAGTTAGAGTCTCAACTCCTGGTATCCCGCTTTTTTTCTCCCCTACAATAATTACTCCCTAAACCCTAAACCCTAAACCGCGTGGCTCCCCCCCCAGCTCAGAGAATCCTTGAGGCAGAACCCCTTTATCCCTCATCATCCCTATATACCCTTAGGGTCCCTTGGGGCCTCCTCTTTTCCAAAGCTCCCACTATTCGGTTTAGGGTTTAGGGTTGATTGTTTAGGGTCTACCCTAAACCCTAAACCCTAAACCCTAGACCCTAAACCCTATTCAAAACTTACACTGGGCCGCCTCGTCTGGAAGCCCCAGTAGAGGCCTAAGCGCTGTCGAGGCTCTTGAGGGTCAACCGCACGGCCTTTCCCAAGCCAAAGCTAACCTATATAGGGTTCATATTTGGGTTCATGATATATAGGGGTAATATTGGGGGTTATATTGGGATAATGGAAAAGAAAATGGAAACTACTATTTAGGGTTTAGGGCTTAGGGATGTAGACCCCTGATTAATAAAACCCCTCCCCTTAATAGGGATTATAATAGGGATCCTAATATTAAGGCCCTTGAAAGGACGGGGTTTATTAATCAGGGGTCTACATTAGGGTAGGTTGGG